CCAGCTACTCAGGAGGCTGAGGCAGGAGAATTGCCTGAACCCAGGAGACGGAGGTTGCGGTGAGCCGAGATCGCGCCATTGCACTCCAGCCTGGGTAACAAGAGCGAAAACTCCGTCTCAAAAAAAAAACAAAAATAAATAAATAAATAAATAAATAAAATTTTAAAAATAATAAATTTCAAAAAAGAATAAGAGGGTTGAGGCTGAGGTGTTTGCAGTTTGTATTCTTTATTACTATGTTTATTTTATTTATTATTTTTTTTTTAGAGACGGGGTTTCACCATGTTGGCCAGGTTGGTCTTGAACTGCTGACCTCAGGTAATCCACCTGCCTCGGCCTCCCAAAGTGCTGGGATTACAAGTGTGAGCCACCATGCCCGGCCTGTTACTATGTTTTTTTTTTTTTTTAAAAAAAAGCTGTGCCAGAGAATAAATGCTTGAATTAACAAGCATTTATTCTCTCACACAGTTGATAAGAATCAGGAAACCAAAAGTGGCTTAGCTAAGGTGGTTCTGGCTCAGTGTCCCTCATCAGGTAGTGGTTAAGATGTCAGCCAGGCGACCGTCATCTGAAGGCTTGGCTGGGACTGGAGTATCTACTTCCAAGATGGCGCACTCATGTGTTCCTCACTGGCTGTTGCCCGGAGGTCTCAATTCTTCACCACATGGGCCTCTGCGTAGGTAGCTTGAGTGTCCTCATGACATGGCAGCTGGCTTCCCTCAGAGTAAGTGATTGAGAAATAGAGCAAGAAGGAAGCCATAGTGTCTTTCGTGACCTTGTCACTTCTACCACATTATTTTTGTTATTAAAAAAAAAAAAAAAAGGATGGATGCAGTGGCTCATGCCTGTAATCCCAGCTCTTTGGGAGGCTGAGGCAAGTGGATGACGAGGTCAGGAGTTCAAGACCAGGCTGGCCAACACAGTGAAACCTTGTCTCTGCTAAAAATACAAAAATTAGCTGGATGCGGTGGTAGACGCCTGTAATCCCAGCTACTTGGGAGGCTGAGGCAGGAGAATTGCTTGAACCCCAGACGCGCAGGTTGGAGTGAGCTGAGATCGCGCCCCTGCACTCCAGCCTGGGCCACAGAGGAAGACTTTCTCTCAAAAATAATAATAATAATAATAAATAAAAAGAGTCATGAATGCAGCCCACACTCAAGGGGAGGGGAATTAATCTCTACCTTTTGGAGGAAAGAGTATGAAAGTACTTGTGGGTTTTTTTTTTTCTTTGAGACGGAGTTTCGCTCTTGTTACCCAGGCTGGAGTGCAATGGTGCGATCTCGGCTCACCTCAACCTCCGCCTCCTGGGTTCAGGCAATTCTCCTGCCTCAGCCCCCTGAGTAGCTGGGATTACAGGCATGCGCCACCATGCCCAGCTAATTTTTTGTATTTTTAGTAGAGACGGGGTTTCACCGTGTTGACCAGGATGGTCTCGATTTCTTGACCTCGTGATCCACCCGCCTCGGCCTCCCAAAGTGCTGGGATTACAGGCTTGAGCCACCGCGCCCGGCCTTTTTTTTTTTTTTTGAGATGGAGTTTCACTTTTGTTGCCCAGGCTGGAGTGCAATGATATGATCTCAGCTCACTGCAACCTCCGCCTCCCGGGTTCAGGTGATTCTCCTGTCTCAGCCTCCCGAGTAGCTGGGATTACAGTCACATGCCACCACGCCTGGCTAATTTTTGTATTTTTAGTAGAGACAGGGTTTCATCGTATTGGTCAGGCTGGTCTCAAACTCCTGACCTCAGTTTATCCACCTGCCGTGGCCTCCCAAAGTGCTGGGATTACAGGCGTGGGTCACTGCGCTTGGCCTGTGGACATTTTTTAAACCATCACGGAGTTGGCGGTCTGGCTGTGGAGGTTGGGCTGGCAGAGGCTGAGCCATTTAGAATTTTGATTTTGTTGCTGGGTTGGTATTATGATGTTTGACTCAGTGAGGGTTAGAGTCACGGAGTATTGGAACACGGTAGTGCTGGGTTGGATGGCTGGGGTTTGGTGTTGACAGGACGGTGGCTGGGCTGGTGGGGACTGTAACGTCAGAGGTGGTGGGAGTTCAGTGAAAGTGTGCTCAGGGATTATGGTGTTTAAAGTCATCACTGTGGGTCCAGTGGAAGCTTGGTGATGGTGGAAATGAGAAGGGCTATCTGCTGGGGATGGTGGAGCTTGGAGTTGGACATTATGTTGATTGTGTAGTTCCAATTGTAGTTGAGTCGTTGGGTAGAGTGACGTGTGGCATCATGGAGTTGTTGATTGCTGGAATCACGGCGGCAGTTAGGGTGGTGGGCATTGGCCCGTGTATTTCCTAGTTATGGGAGCTGAATCCACTATTGAGGAAGAGGTTGAAATGGCTGGGGTAGGCCGGGTGCAGACTCATGCCTGTAATCCCAGCACTTTGGGAGGCCAAGGCGGGCAATCAGGAGGTTAGGAGTTTGAGACTAGTCTGGCCAACATAGTGAAACCCTGTCTCTACTAAAAAGACAAAAACTTGGGTGTGGTGGTGTGCACTTGTAATTCCCGCTACTCAGGAGGCTGAGGCAGGAGAATCACATGAATCCAGGAGGCAGAAGTTGCAGTGAGCTGAGATCATGCCATTGCACTCCAGCCTGGGCAACAGTGCAAAACTCCATCTCAAAAAAAAAAAAAAAAAAAAAGTCTGGAGTAGGCCAGGCGCAGTGGCTCATGCCCGTAATCCCAGCACTTTGGGAGGCCAAGATGGGTGAAATCATTTGAGGTTAGGAGTTCCAGACCAGCCTGACCCATATGGTAAAACCCCAAAACCCCATCTCCACTAAAAAATACAAAGAAAAAAAAAATTAGCTGCATATGGTGGCACATACCTGTAGTCCCAGCTACTCCAGAGGCTGAGGCAAGGGAATCTCTTGAACCCAGGAGGCAGAGATTGCAGTGAGCCAAGATTAGGCCACTGCACTCCAGCCTGGGTGACAGAGTGACTCTTGTCTCAAAAAGAAAAGAAAAAATAAAAGGCTGGAGTTGAGGCCGGGCACGGTGGCTCACGCTTGTAATCCCAGCACTTTGGGAGGCCGAGACGGGTGGATCACGAGGTCAAGAGATCGAGACCATCCTGGTCAACATGGTGAAACCTCGTCTCTACTAAAAATACAAAAATAAGCTGGGCATGGTGGCGCGTGCCTGTAATCCCAGCTACTCAGAAGGCTGA